TAGCTAAAGCCATCCTTGCAGGGGAAGAAAACTCAGGTAAAATGCAAGTAAAGTTTTTATGTCTCTCAGTCAGGGATTGTCAGGGGTTTCACTCTTTCAACAGAATTCCTCTGACCTTTCCAGATCCTCTGTGAAGCCGGTCCCCACAGCCCTTTCTCCCACGCTTTCCTAAAACAGCACTGCATTTGTCACACCAGAGCGTGGTCCACGCTTTGCCGGTGAGACCGAAGCCGCCCGGTCCAGGCGTGTACTGCAGAGCGGCTCTCACACATTCCAGCAGCACCTCTGCGCTGCTCCAGCACCTTGTCCTGCGTGTGGCACCTCTAGAGCTGGAGCTGCCAGCTCGTCTGTATCCCAGCAGCAAGGCAGGTGGAGCTTGAGGAAGAGAAAGTCCTTAGCACAGGGACTGTGGCTGCCCCAGCATCTGCTGTGCTTTCAGACACATCCCTAATTCGGGGCACAGGGCAGGTCCAAGCTGCTGCAACCTCGTTGCAAACCTGCAGGGGTAAGAAAAACCCTACTCAAAGTTAGATCAGTAGAGACGTCCTTTATAAACAGTGCGCACCGGGGACACGGGCTCCTTCCCAAAGATGTCCGCCTGCACGTTGCAGTCAACAAATATTTATATATTAAATTCATGCCTATTCAGTCTATACGATGCATATTTATTATCATTCTCTCAATGATTAGTTCTTCTTTTCTCGCTTCTGATGCAAATGAGCACGCAGCCTCTGTTGTAGCCTTCTGTTGTTCCCTTGTGAGTAGGGGGTGTAATTTGGGTGAGTGGTCTGTGAGTCAGAGGTCTCGGCCACTCCTCAAATTGACCGTGTATGGTCAAGGAACATGTCCTTGGCTCGCAGGCTCTTGGCTTGTACCTGCTTTGGTCATGATTCAAAGATTATACACAACGGGTACCATCATAAATCCTGTCTAGCAGACATCTTGGACCATAACATATTAGCCTTGCTTTTAATCATCAATAGTTACTAGTTAGGAAACACCTTAGGTCTGGGACTTTACAGGGGTATGCTAGCAGCACTGGAAATACAAATTTTATTTTATATTTGATCACTTATTCCATTTGAGTCTTATTTTCCCAAAATAATCATTAGTCTCTCCTACTAATATCCACTAATTAGAATTCTTGATATTCAAACCAAGATGGGAAAATTATACAATATAAAAAAAATACTAAGCAGTATCCTAAAATCCTAAATCTGATGATTGCTGCAACAACCTGACTTGGGTTGACAAGATTTTGCTTCTTTTCCTCCTATCATTTCCCACCAGCGAGCTGAGCACAGGGTGTACTGGGGAGGTGTAGATGCTTCTGTTGTTCTTCTTCAATTAATGAAAAAGCCGTCAGATAATTGAAATATCAGAAAAGACAAACTTCTTTGGAAGCTTTATTAATGGAGAGAAAAATAGCAGTCTGGAAGCCTCATGCCTCCCAGGCCTGTGTCTATTGATTGTTTTCTTTGATATCCCGTGTGGTACATAGGCCCTGAAAACCATACAATTAACATTTGGAAGCAGCTAATCTCTAGCAGAGCTTGTCAGCAGCGATTAACACGCCGTTATATTTCTACCACCCGTCAAAACAAACGCCTGAGACCTCCCTAGGCCAATTGTGCCTTCGGTTTCCGTATTAGAGACATATATATGAGCACGTCTCATGCATGATTTAACTGTTTATTAATTCCACTGCCAGAGCAGCTCAGTTGGGTAACACCCTGGCAGCAGTGGCAACGCCTGGAGCTGTGCTAAACGTGCTGTGACAGGGCCTTGGCATGGCTGTGGTCTGCATAAATGCGTTGCAGCCAGACAGAAATTGCCAGTGCCCTCAAGCTGGCACGTTTCCTTCCGAATGTGGTGGGATGGACACCCAGGTCCTCAGGGGACATCACCAGTTGTGGGGATTGAGGGTTGGAGACTCCATGTAGCGTCCACTTGGGACTTTCCTAGTGCACAGTGGGGAAAGTGGGGTGCAGAAGCCAGCAGAGCTTGGTACCTTCTCCAAACCTACAAAGACTGTATTCTGCTCGTTGTTGGATTTGCCTGGCGACTCCACAGTAATCTCTTTCCTGTGGCAGCTAAAAGTACTCTGAGGGTACAACTTGCTCAGGGAAGGGGTTTTTTTCCTTTCCTGGCGTTTGGGACTTGGAGGTGGTTGCTGATGTAGAGTTCAGCCAAGTGCAAAGATAAGACATTGACCTTGTGCAGGCAGTAGTGCAGGACAGCTGCAATACTACCAGCACTTTGGACATTATAATGACAGTTCTTCTGCTTTGACTTGGGAGGGTGAAGGTCAGGATATTTGACTCTGAGATGGTCGTGATCAGTCCCTGCCACAGTGCTGAAGCCCTCTGTTTCTCCATTTCACAGGCCAACCTTAGAGCCATTATGTCTTCTGAGAAGCAGGTGACACAGCTGATGAGCTCCATTGATGAGGCCTTGGCAGAGGTGGCCAGGGTGGAGGAGACCTTGCAGATCTATGATGAGTTACTGGGAAGTGTGAAGCAGCAGATGGACCACATCCACCGGGAAAACTCCTTGCTACATCTCATCGTTTCCAACAAGACGAGGCTGATGGATGAGATCCTCTTCCTCACGGTACGTGGATTTGCAAAGACATAAGTCTTCAGCCTGTTGAATCCATTAGAAAAGACTTTCAGTAACCCTCAAACACTCTGAAGACTATTATCTGTCTGCAAAGGCTACAGAGCTTCTCTGGCCTAGAAATGAGGGACTTGCTGTCTGGATAATAGAAGGATGGCCACAGAGCTGGGATGGACTACAGGTAGACCAGACCTCACCGGGGTCCAGGGTTGTAAGAGGGGTCACTGAAAGTCCTTTTCACGGGCAATATGAACCTCACCTGACGGGATGCCAAGGACCTTCCAAACGCAGCTCTGCAGCCTTTCGCTTGGGATGCTGCGCTCTGCCTTTCGCTGTCGGCCTTGGAGCCTTCTTACACGCTGGGGCAGGGCTTGTACCTTGCACCCAAAGCACTGAGGTCCTCCCAGCCTTGTGCCTTCAGATTCCAGGCATACCTGCGTCTGGTTTGTGGGGCTTCTTGTGGGAAGCAATTGCCACTGTTGCCTTCTTCCTCAGTAGCCTTCAGTTTATATCTTTGCGCTAGGGAAAACCAGCTCTCATTAGGAGATAACAGTCATTTCAATAGCCAATAATTGTAAGCCAGGGCTATGTGAGGACCATACTTAACGAGCAATTAGAGCCAGAGCATGCAACACCCACCCCTGGTCAAAGCCCGCTCCCACAAGGGCTGGTAACCCCACATGCAGAGAAACCGCTGGGGACTGAGGCAAACTACACACCTACCATCCAAAAAGTGTTCTGGGGACTTCCAGTTGCCCTGGAGAGGCTGTTTGTCCAGGGATCCTGTAGCTTCTCTTCCCACTAATGGGAGTTTCCCCATTCCTTTTCTTTCCATTGTTCTCTACTTTGCTTTCTTTTTTTTCTCTTTTTTTTAATTTTTTTTTTTCCCCACCCTTGAAGGTAACTGTGAAGTCAATGTCTGCCACCAGGGGTGGCCTTTGTGCACATCAGCCTGTCTCTGCACCCATTGCGGAGTGAGGAGCTTTTCTCTGCAGTACCTCATAGCCACAGAGACACAGGGGACAGCACAGCCAGCGGGGAGACTCTTGATGAGCTCTGGGAATATGGGAAAGGAAATTATTTACAAACATAACATACCACAAATGCAAGAAATGTGCTGTAATAGCACAGCTAATCCTCACTTCCACTGCTTACCTCTGGTGACCTCTATGACGTTGACCTTTTCATTTCTGACTAACTTAAGCTGCCGCTTCCTTAGCTTTTTCTTTCTCCTCCCCATCGCTTCGCTGCCAGTTGTGATCCCAGAGGTGCTGGCCCCCACACTGAGGTCTGCCAGGGCTTCCTTGGTGACTGCTGCAGTTGTTAGGGTACAGACCTTTGGTTTTGGTGGGGATAGAGCAGCGTGGTCTTCACAGGCAGCCTGGCACCTCAAGGTAGCGCTTGGCTATTTCAAGCCAGCAGCCTTCCAGGTGGGGTGAGAAGGGATGAGAAACTGTCTGTGCTTGTACCTGTTCTCTTCTGGCTTTGTTTTTAGACCCACCTCAACCTCAGCAGGGAACACTGCGATGCTCTGAGCCAGGCAGATCTTTCCAGCCCCAGCAGAGTGAAAGCCTGCATTGCTGCAGCAGAGGCTTTATCTGGCTGCATGAACATCCAGATACAGCCCGGTGAGTAGAGAGCAGAGATTTATATCTGCAGACAGCAGAGCCACCGGCTCATCCACAACCTGCGCTGCACACCCAGCACCATTCTGTGCTGCCCAGCCTCTGCAGCTGCCCCAGAACCGCTGGAGCTGGAGGGGATATTCCCAGGAATCAGCTCACACTCTTGCTGGGCAGCCCTGCAGGCTGCCTGGGCAAAGTAGAAAAGAAATAGGAGGCAGGCATGTATTTGGGAAGCGAAGCAGCAGCACTAACCCAGGGGGACCTGCAGTGGAAGGTGCAGAGCTATAAACACTATTTACCTGGAGTGCTCCTGGAGCTGCAAGCTGGGGAAACAGGCCGGCAGGGTCAGCTTTCTTCTGGAGATATCGCTGAAGCTTTCAGAGTCTGCATTAGCTTCACCTAGAAGCGCAGTCAAGCAGGGCTGGGGTAACGTTACCTCTGAACACCCATGCAGAAAAGTAGCTGGGGTGGGGTGGGGTGGGGTGTGGGATCGGCTCCGTTCTTAGAGAAATCCAACTCATGCTGCAAACGGCCAAGCTGGGGCATCCACGCACCACGGGCAGGTCTGCAGGCACCTCGCCTCCCTCTGGACTCAGGCAGCAACTGGTTCAGTTTGCATTAGAGTTGAGGCAAACTTGTGGCAAGCATCTAAATCCCTGGACACAAGGCATCGTTGTCTGCCGTCTGCGTACGACACCCCTCATAGTTCAGAAAGGAACTGGTGGGAAGCCATGTTTAGAAACTCAGGTCTCTCTGGGCAACCCAGTTGCCTTTTCTTGAGCACGGAAAAACGATAATTCGCTGTAGTGAAAGAGCTAAACCCTGACAACCTCTGACTAAGGCCTCACTGTGATACACAAAAGCTTTACTCGCATATTTTTGTTTAGTTTCGCTTGCATCTTGGTTTTCCTTCCCCCACAAGGATGGTTTTATCTCTGTTCTGACATCTTGCCTGACATCAAGGAAACAAACCTCCAGATATCAAGGAGACATTAAGGAGACAAAGCTCCAGACATTAAGGAGACCCCTCTAGTACCTGACTGATTGTTACAAGAGGTTGCATCAGAAAAGGGGCCCTGGCCTGTGCTCAAGAAGGAGGAGTCAGCTAGAGGACAGTGTGAGGAAGACTATGAATGCTGGGAACTCATCACCATAAGACTGCCTTTCTCAGGGACTCTGATGAATATGTATGATTTTTGTGTATAGGAACTGATGGGTTTTGCTAGCCCGTCGGAGCATTCATGGTGGGACACCCCCAGTGCTGCCCAGTGCTGCAGTACAGAATTCCTGCTTGATAACACCCTGTTGTTAGTGAGTTTTCATCTCGGAATCCTCACCCAGCTGCACCCAGCCTCCCACCTCGGTGAGGAGTGTTAGAAAGCGAGCGGGTTTGGAAGCTCCGAATTTTGTATCAGTAGCAGTGTTCACTGTGGGTGTTGTTGGAGACCTGCTGGCGTAGAGGGACTTCATCCTGGCATGAAACCCCATGTTGTCCTCCTGAAGAGACTGGGCGTTTGTCCTTGGCCATGGTCGGACTGTTGGATGCTTCGCAATTATTTATTTTTTTCTACTTTAAACTCCCTCCCTGTCTGTATTTGCTTGGTACCGCAGCAAATCTTTTCCCCTTTGTTGGCTTTTGGGTGGTAGTATTTATCCCAGAACCTACTCCTTGAAGACTTGTCTTATCTGCCAGTGGGCTGAGCAACGCCGGTCTGCAGCCACGACAGCTTGTGCTGCTCAATGCCGCGACACCTTCTCTTTATTTTCCTCAAGGTTACCGGAAGCTGCAGTCTGTGGCTGAGCAGCTGATCATGTTCGAAACACTCAAGCAGAACTTTGAAAACGCTTTTATCAGTCACATTACGAGGATCTTCGAGCTGCAGGTGGGCTTCACTCTTCTCGTGGCAGCTCAAAATCCTGGGAGATTTGATCTCCCAAAGTGTCTCCCCAAAAAAGGTCCTTTCCCATACCTTCACCCTGCTGTTGCCCTCCTCTGGTTAGTTTTGCAGGCATGCAAATCCAGCACAATTCTGTGTTTATCAGGCCACCAGGTTCCCTCTGGTGACAGTCATTAATCCTCTTGGCATGTTAAAAAGCGCTTAGGCCTGAAGATTTTTGCTTTAGATTTTCTTGGTTTACTTTGGGGAGGGGTGGTGGTGGTGGTTGCTCATCTGTCAGTAACATAAAATCCCAGGATAAAAGCCAATCTCTTGATCCTTTGATTAACATCAAGTGGTTGTCTTGCAATTTAAAGGATATGGTGGACAATATCTCTGTGGGCAGAAATCTGAAAGGAAAATATTACTCTTCTAGATTTCATTTCAAGAAGAGAAAAGCAGCTACTCCCAAACCCTTCGTGTTATTTCCTTAAATCTTTAGGATTTAGTTTCAAGCATTGACTCAGGGAAGGGAAGTGACTGGCAGGGAACTGGAAGGGAGTTGTGGGATCTCCATGCCTGGAGATTTTCAGATCTTGACTGGACGCATCCCTGAGCAACCTGCCCCACCTGGACCTGCTCTGAACCTGCCGAGCTCCCATCCCACCTACATGACTCTGTGTCTATGGGTGCGGTGTCTCAGCACTCCCAGGCCCTGGTAGATGGGCTGTGCAAGTGCGCAGCACCCCTCCTCTCCATTGCATCCCACCCCACCAGGGCATACCCACCTCCAGTGCTTGGAGGGACAATTTCCAGCATGCTCCTGAACAATGAGCTTTCCTCCTGTGTCTTCTCCTGAGTGCTTAGCTGGAGTATCCCATGTATTACTGATGGGCCAGCTCATTCCTCTGGGCTCAGATTTGTTCCCAGGACATGAGATTAAAACTAGAGGTCAACATGATCGTGCATGCTCTGCTTCACCCTTTAAGTTTGCTTCTCAAACATATTCAGAACTGGAAATTCAAGGGTGATTATGAAGCAATTGTTTTGCAGAGCTCTTCAAGGCTATGTTTTATTTGACTCTTTCTGCCGTTTCTGTTGCTTTAGGGTAATGCTCAGGTCCCTGCTTTTGGGCAGCCCATTGACAAGCTATCTGCACCAAGCCATGGACTCCACCACGAGGAACTGGTGCCCTACACCCCGCTCATGACCTGGCTGAGGAACGTCAACCCAGTTCTGTTCTGTGATCTCCCCAAGGTATGGCTGAAATCCCGAATGAATATTGCAAACCGTCCACCAGGAACAGATTAGTGAAGCTGGTTAACTCATGATGAGAGCTTGGTTTCACCAAGTCCGTAACACCCACAGGCTTCCAGCACTTGGCCCTTCTAGAAGGGTGCTGGCCAACTTGGCCACATGATGTTGGACCTCTGTGCTTGACAGAAAGCAGTCTGGGACTTGGTGGCAGACATTGTGTTGAAGGGAAAGGGTATGAAATGCTAAAATCTGGGCTTTTTGCTTTCATCTGGCCATTTCTCTACTTTCCAGGTCTATGCTCAGAACCTCAGCAGACTCTATGACCGGGAAATCAAAGCCTTTTTTGAACAAGCCAAAACCTTCTTGTTAGGAAGGAGAAAAGGAAGTGAGTGATTTGCAAATATGACCTTTGTGCTGCCGAGCGGTGATTGATTTGCAAGCAGGGAACACGGCAATCATCCTCTGTCATAGGTGTCCTCCCCAGATTTTGTGCCAGGAATTTACCTTCTCCTCCAGGGACCAGGTCTGCAGTTGGCAGCACGTGACAAAGCCGACTCTGCTTTACACCAGGCAGTGTTTGTGTGAGCACCGGCTGTGTGTATTACCCAGGTTTGTTTGGCTGCTGCTCAGAGCTGCAGCTTGTGTTCACCTTCCCTTTGCAGACTCAGAACGATGCATGGGGTGGCTGAGACCGTGTCCTGAGGAGCTGTAAGAGAGGGAGACGTGGGACTGCCTGGCTAATGCCTGGTCCATATTTCATGCAAGCAGAGTGGGACACAGACTCCTCAGACACTCTTCTCCCTGTAAAGAGATGGCACTGAGCCTGTCCCTGAAGACACGAGTGTGTTCGTAGCAGTATCTGTGAGAGCAGAACGATTTCATAGTGAACTGACTGTGGGGCTGTGGTGTCCCAAGGTGATCATTTCAACGGGAATCGCTGCATCTGACTCAAAATATTCCAGTCAGGTGTTTCTGAAGATAAAAAGAGAAACTGATCTGTCTCCTCTGGCAGTTTTTGATTGCGCAGAAGTCACATTTTCCTTCAGCAAAACAAAGCACTGTAATGGAAAGTTCCATGCCAGCTTGGCCCAGCTTGAATGTCAAAAACCACCTCGCATGGTGTGTTTAGTCTATCAGAGCGCTAGCTCGGCTTCTTCCAGCTCTGCACCTACTTCATCACTTGTGTCCAGACCCCAGAGCCAGACGATGAGGCCCAGGGAAGGAAACGGGGCTGGTGGCTGAAGGATCCCGGTGAAGGGCCTTGCCTTTCTGCACGTGCTGTGCTGGCCCCGCAGCAACGATTGTACCAACAGCCCCTGTCCCGCTCACCCAACTGCCCTGATATTTGCCCATCTTTTGTCTTCTGCGGTGAAGTCCATGATGTTCTTGTGGGGTACAAGGGATGGTCAGGGAGCCTGGGCCATGGGCATCCGGAGGGAGCTACCTGAAGCTCACGAGGCTGCAGGATCAGACCATTGCACGTGATTTCCACCTCTGTAGCCCTCCAGGGCCCTTTCTCTCGGTTTCAGAACTGGCCATAAAGGGAAGGGCGAATATCTGGGTGTCTTGCTGTAACCTCCTCCCTGCTCTGTGGATCCATGAAGAACCTGGTGCGTCTCAGGCAGGGACGGAGAGAGCCCGTGCTGGCAGCAACTTGCACACGAGCAGGGACAGGACGGTGCTTCTGCTGGCTGTGTTTCCCATGCTGGGGTGATAGAAGAAGCCTCTTCCACATCCCAAGCTTTGGGCTGACGACTGCATCCCGCCAGGTGGGAGCACTCGGCATCGCTTTGTTCTGCATCACCTCCCACCTCGCAGAGGCGAAGGGGCACAGCACCGAGAGGCATGAGTGGACCTGAGTGCTGGGTCTGCTCACCCCCTTGCTGCATTCCCAGTACTGCCCCAGTCAGTCCCAGTCCAGGGTGAGCCAACAGCAGCAGGCTGCAACGCCCAGATGCTGGTGGCTGTGTCTGAAGAGAGGAGCGCTTCTCGGCTCCTGTTTTTGGGTGTGCATCATGGCCGTATCTCAATGTACCCAGCACCCCTTCCAGCTCCTCCCTGCCCAGTGCCAGTTCCCCTGGGAAAGACACTCAGCCACACATACCAGGAAAACAGGGCACCTCAAGACCAAACCAGGATGGGCAGCACTGGCCGTGTACATGTACCTGCAGCAGAGCACACAAGTCGTGAAAAGAAAGAAGGAGAATTTCACCTCAATAGACTTTAGCCGCTGGAAATAAGAGAAGGGGAAAAGGAAAAACACTTCGGCTTTTTCTCCCCACTACTTGTCATTTTCAAAAATTTATCCCCTTTAAAGGAAGAGACAGTAGAAGCTCAGATACTAATCCTTAATTAAAATGTTCCTTTTTGAAATCTTGCTAGAAATGGAGAGAGAGAACACCTCCAGGAAATATTTTTATAGTCACCAGGAAACTATTTTTCCATGCCAGAATGATTTGCCAAACTATGCAGCCAAGAGAGGGAAAAATGGGGATCAAAACCTCTCTGCTAGTTCCAGCAGAAAAGCAGTGACGTGATAAAAAGGGTCAAAAAATAAGTTGTGTAAGGAAAGTCAACATTATTACTCCCCTTGCAATTTAAAAACAAGGTAACAGGCACTTAAATGAAAGGGACATGCTGAGAAGTGGTGACAGGAAATTATTTGTGATAGGAAATGATTTGTCCATGATGCCGTAAACCAGTACTTGTGGCTACAAGCTGTCACGGATGCTGGAGGACTCAGGAAAGCCTATAGCAAGCAGATAACAGGAAAACAAAATGGTGTAGTAATAATAATCCAAGGATAATACTGAGATAAGGACTTTCTGAAAAAGGATAGCGTTTCATAAGGACTGTAAAGGCAGACACTTCTCCTACGGGGCTGTTACAACACCCTGTGTCACCCTGAGTGTCCTCCTCCCTCCTCGGAGGTGCCAGAGACCCAGCAGTGCTGGAGCACCGGTTGCATCACTTGTTGGATCTGGGGTAGCCACCCTTCAATCAGTTTGGCAGTCCCCGCTGCTGTGATCTGGACACCAGGGAGGACACCTACATTCACGCCGACGGTGATGGGCTGGTGATGACACCTCGTGAGGATGTACTGGCCCAGGTGGAGGGCCCTGAGCAGAACAGGCCACCCTTCCCAGGCTTCCTTTCCAGCTCATCAGAGATGCAATGCCTGGGGAAAGCTCTCCCCAGTGCAACTGTCAGGACTGGCAATAACATACTGGGACAGTTCATGTGGCTCTCCATGGCTTGCTTGGTTTTTGCCACACATCAAGCATGAGGTCTTGTCCTTATGGATGCCCACCCTACTTGGAAGAAGGGGTGCATGCACCACTAAAGCAGTCGTTGTGATGAGATATTCTAGTCGGGATCCATTTGCTTCCAGCTTCCAGTTCTTTCATGCCTTGCTCGTACTGGGACCAGCTCGCCACAGGGCTCCTGAACTCAGCCCGGTGGAGAGGGGCATATGGTTTGCCTCTCCTGCCGCACTGGGTAAAACAAATGGGTAAAAAATATAATGTTCCTCACACACACCCCTGTCCTGAGTGCCTGGACACAGCTTTTCCTGGGGAAACATGCTCTTTCTTGCTTAAAAATAGGAATTCCTGATAAGAGGTAATGAATGTACTGGCAGCAAGCAAGCCTGGGGAATTAGCAGTGGGGAAGCAAACTCCGATCTGTGGTTTATAAGATAACGTGATCAAGCACCGTTTCCTGAAGCAGGGTGATTGCTTTCATTTAAACAGAAGGAAATAACAAAGATTGTGTATAGGATAGAGAGGCCCCGGTTCCTATTTGCAAAGTGATGGATGGGCTCTGACCAAGGGACTTGCTGGGTGATAGAAAACAAAAACACCCAAGTTTGTCTCCTCCCAGAGCACAGCTGGGTCTGCTCAGAAAGCCATTAAAATGGGCGACGTTGCAGGGCCAGAGGTGGCTGTTAAAGAGGCCCTTTATGAAAATGGGCTTGTTAAATAAATTTAAAAAAAAAAAGAAAAAAAAAAGATAGTGTGTGGCATGCGTTGCAGCCCTTTTGGTAAATGTCAAACCAGTGATTTCTTTCCAGTACTTTGTCTACCTTTAATGCCTATGTGAGTCCCATAAAAAGGGAGTCATTAAAATCCCAGGAGACATTCCAGTGCCTGTGAAACCCACCGCAGCGACAGAAGGACACCTTGATGGCTACAAGCCTGTTACTGCCCCGTTATACGTGACCCAAATGTGTCTGCCCGTTGCTGGTGTTGCTCCCGCAGGCAGGACGAGATGAGCCGAGCTTTGCCGGTGCTGGGGTGGGCTGGCACCGCGCTTTGCTCCCTGGGGTGAGACGAGGTCTGGGACAGGTAGGAAGCCCCAGGCTAGGTTGGGGATGCTCAACCCCTCATTAACGTGAGGCAGCACATCGAAACGACAGCCACCGTGTCGCTGCGGAGAGCGATTAGTGGCAGGGAGAATTTTTAGAAAGTTGTATCCGCAGAGTTTCTGCCAGCCATGGCGCAGAAAGGCACCTTCCCCCCGGCTTGTGGTGCCACCAACGGAGAGCTGCCTGCCCACCGCTGGAGACCCTGGGGACAAAGGAGGAGGGAGAGCATCGCGTCTCCTCCCGCGACACCTCTCCCTGGTGAAGCTGACCTCTTCTTGGCTCAAGGACGTACCGCAGGGTCGGCAGGAGCCTGGCAACGCGTGCGCGTGTCCTTCTGCTGAAGGAGCTTGGCAGCAACGGGCACTGAAAGCAAGCGCGGTCTCTCCCAGGT